ATGTAAATGTGATTCACCAATCATTTTGTTCTACGCATCATTACTGTTTGGTATGCTTTTGTCCTTCCTTGAGTGGTGGCTGTTTTTGTACCGTTACATTTGTGTAACCATGTTATTTTTATATTCCGGAAACAAAGTCTATGACAAGTCACTTGTGTTTTATTTATAGTAAAACCTGGACTGTGTTGCTAGTATTCATAGTGAGAACTATGATTTACAGACAAATTTAATCTTACATCCTACTCCACCAACTTTAGTTTGGGTAGTATCGCCAGTCCTCACACAATAGACTGGAAAATAGAAGACATGTTACAAGAACTGAATCCAATCAAATATTCAACTCAATCAAATGTCCACGCATACCCTCCTTTTGTTACTTCAGACTGACTGTATCAATTTACGGGGAATTAGACGAAGACATACACTTTCTGAAAACATACCGAAATGTCTACGATTAAGAGGGAGTGAGACTCTGACCACTGCAGTCACACCGAATCCGATTGAAACAGGGATTGAGCAGAAGACAGCTTGAATGAATTTAAGATGTATAAACAAGAAAGCTTTACTTCGCAGATACTATGTCCATCAAGCAGCTAAAGACCGATTAGGTATTCAAAAGGAGGTTTCAGCAAATCTGTCTCCCTACTTTGGTAACTTAGCTCACGAACTTTAATTAATTAATTCATGATTTACTAATGTGAATCTTGCCTTACTTCGTGTCATCATCAGTTGGCGAAAGCCGTTTATAATATCTGAATTTAACAAAATGAGCTTATCTCACCATATTTTGTTTATTAACAATTTCTAATTATTTTCGTAATCCTATGATGTTCGTCCCTGAATATCTCGTTACTACCCTTGATTCTTTGCGATAAAACCCAGTTATTCAGTTATATTACTAAAGCGATTTTTTATATTTTACCGCCTTAACATTACTATTCGTCTGTATACCATTTCTCTTCATAATGATTGTTCGACATTTTGTTTCATCGGGAGAAACTAAAATCTATCCAAACTGCAACAAAACTATTCACTTTCATCAACTTGCTTGTCTGACTGAATTTTAACTCGAAACTTTGCACAGAAGTGTAGCAGTTCAAGTTCCTACACTCCATATAGCATACAAAAGTAACGAGAAGTGATAGAAATTCAAAATAACCTTAATGGGCAGAAAGGTACAACAGGAGGAAGAGTAACATGCGAAAACATTAAGGTCCAGTGGAGATCACAGAGTGAATGTATCTGTGTGCCATGTGGAGCGATTTCGAGCCATATCTCTAACGGTCTCCAGCCACTAGTTCCTGGAATCTCGAGGTCTGAAACCCGGTAGTCTACACCTCTCCTACATAGCCCAAAACAACAATCAGACTTGATGGATGGATGTGAAGTTTTGATAAGACCATCCCTAACACTACCAACCTGTTCGTATATCGACTAACATAGTTTGACGAGGGAGGCGATGGCTTTGGACGCGAAGAACGTATCCTAGTCATCTCAATATGATGCAGCTTCACCCAGGTTGTAAGCAGATTCATTTTTACTACCACTTTGAATAACATCCTTATTATTGTAATGATAAACAATGACATTAGACAATTATTTAACAAGCGTACTGCCGATGAGTCTCAAAGTAGGACGAAACAGCTGTCCAGTACTCCCTGGTTTTCGATGGTTCTCTAACTGATATCAATCCATGGTCTAACCTGAAACAAATAGAATCCCTACAGACTAATTATTGAAAAAGGAAGAAGACTGGAAAGTGGAGTCATTTATGATATACTTTATTCTCCCAATATATTATCCACCAACCGTTAAGGCAATTACAAAGTTAGAAAAATGGATATAAAACATTTACTTAAAAGCAAATAATAGGATTTAGAAGACACAGTGGTTAACCAATCAAGAAAGAATGAAACAGATCGATTTCCGAAGAGAGATGTAATGAATGTTACAAAGGTAGATCCGGTTATACTTTTACAACACGTACGTACTCACTATCACAAGCATTATTAAATTCGATTTTACAACAGCATTTATGAAATTGAGTAGTAGGATCGAACGATAATCGGTCACACAAATAAAGTTGATCAAAGGACTGATTTTCAGCAAAACAAAAATCCCCGGCGACTTTCAAAATCCCTGTTATGCTGAACGGTTTACGAGCGTTAGGCGAAAATCCATGTGATGAAGATGCATTTTGACCATCCCTTTCTTGTCGATACTTAGAATTAAGTAGAGTCATGTGTAGCTTTACAGAATTATCTGGACGGTATGGACCATTGCTTACCAAGTTTTGTTCAGTGAATACATTCAGTAACTCATTAGCAATAGCTTGTAGTCGCTGTGCATCAGGTGATTCAGTTAACTGTGAAAAAATGAAGACGATTTTTAAAACACAATCAATATTAGCGATTACAAAAAAAATTGACAGCTTCCCAAAATCACGAATCTAAGTAATCTTTGAAAACAAAATAGATGACAACGGGGATAATTACTTAATCAAGGGTAGAGGAAGTCGTCCAGGCTAAGAATAAAGAGCTTACAACTGATCATCAGAACAAGCAAGAAAATAAATAATGATTACACTCATCCTGAGCTGAAAACTTTCGTTATTATTGCGAAACAACTAATCGTCTTAATAATTTTTATATTTAATTCAGCTTATATGTCAAATCATTTAGGTAATACAGAAGAGGATGAATTAACGTACAAATTTGTACGAGTGTGTATCAACTCAATTCCCCACACTTCAAAAAGGTAGGCGAAAAAAAATAGAACAGATATAAAGCTGTATTGTAGTGGACAAACGTGTGCGGGTAATAAGGGGTAGTAATCTTTAGAATTTCAGTGAGCAAATCTGCGCCATTATGTACTACTTTAAGTCATATCAACATGAATATCTGATTTCCAGTAAAACAGGGATCCTAGCGACAGTCAATAACTTCACAGATTAGTGACATGTTTTTGTCTGACCATTCTTAACACTTTCTAATAAAATCCTACTGCAGCAAAGATTGCTGGTAAAGGAAGGTGGCATCAGTGACACCTGTTAAGACAACCTCAATTGATACACTTACTCTCCTTATCTAACGTTCTAGTCACAACATTACTTATTATCTTCCTTCACCCAACATGAGCAAGTGAGCAAGGACAACTATGATCAAAGACCCCTTAACTACCTATAATTTCCACACTTTAGCTATTGCATGTTACAGTCGTAAAGTAGGACACCGTGAAGCCTTGCTCCGTGTATACGTTAACTCATGGGTAGCTGGATATCCACTTGATACCAAAGATTAGTTCGGTAGAGAAATGCCACATTGAGATTCTAACAATAACCAGTCAATTGAGATTTATGCAACTTCCTACATAAGCGAACTGGTCAAAATATTCAACCCTCCACTTTCTATCCTTGAATTAGAAGTACCTTTAGACCAACCTTGATTAACGTTACGGTAACCATATGACATGACATCAAGGTACAACATTAGAAGTTGCCATAATTTGAAATCTCAAGATAATCCTGTATGATACAGCTATATAATTTGTCGGCACATTTAATTTGTCAGTATAGCTTGCCTTCTGTCAGTCAATGAACTCTTTCTGCAAGCTATCCAATTCTTGGTGTGTATTATTAACATGAACTCATTAATTAGTGACTAGAGAGCAACAAATTTCATGTGTCTATTCCTTAGTGTTGACTAAAGTGTATCCGAAAAGTTTGCGATTTAATCACTGAGCCAGGTAACTAGTCAACGAATTGTACTCAGAACACGTATTCACTGGTAATAGTACAAGGGCAGTGAAACTGAAGAAAAACGGTGACGTTAAGAAATGTTTTACAACTGTTTACCCACACACACATACACACTCTGTTTAAAGTGTTTAACAAAGGTAGACCAATATTTGTAAGTCCGGGGTCAAATTTTGATCACAGCTCATAAAATTTTGTTTATTATACTTGTTGAATGACTCATAATTGGACAAAGTTTTTAAAAACAAGTGATTTTCCTTTTATATATAAACCTATGTTATGTTAATTTCGATTAATTTCCTTGAAGAAGTTCGGACCAGATTGCCGAACGAAACGTGGGAATTACTCATTTCAATCTCGCTGAGATTTTACAAATGTCTACTTCTCACTCGGCGCCCAAATATTTTAGAACTATTCTGTCAAATCTTGACGACAGTTCATTTGAACACTGAGAATCTCTTGAAACCTTTAATTATCGTCAATGCAGATAATTTGCCATAAGCTTTATACAGTTGCATGATAAAAACGCTAACATCATTTTTCATGACCTGTTTCACATAGTGACACTTCCACAACACCCCTTCATTAACTGAGTCCGCTTCTATCTTCAAACCAAGTTATTTGACAGACACCAGACTCCAATGTGTCAATATTCCCAAACGTGACAAAAACATACAACCTAATTAATTTGTCGTCATCCAAGCCTGTGACTTACTTTTTCCCAAGAATTCATATTTCTCAAGCTTTACTTAGTATTCACATGACAGAGGGACATGGATGTTAGTCAGCCGGATCCCCTTGAAGTTATTCCAGAAAAATCTGTTGACCTTAAATTTGTGGTGATCAACAGCTTCCAGGAGTCTAATGGAATCTTTTCTAAACTCCATACGCCAAATAACATTTTCGTTATTCTAAATAACAAGTAGTTTCCACTATCCCTGAACACCTTTCACAACAAACTGTCGGCTCCAAGATGTATTTTAAGCACAGAAACACAACTTACTTGCACGAAGAGTGATAATTTGTCTCTGAATGTGTGTTGTGAACGTGATCACATGTCAAAAAAGACAAATATACTCTACATTTTTCGACAATTGAGTGTTCCCGGTCAGTACTGAATTTTAGTTTGTACATTCCTTTTAGATAACCTGCATGAACCACAACCAAACGATCATGTGTGTGTCTGAACAGAAGCAGTGAAACCTTTACGTACTCGGCTTTTCCCTTAATCAACCATACAGCGCTAAGTAACAGACGATTTCTAAATAACAGTTCTGTTTGACAGAACGAAGGCAGTCCTGGTACCCAGAAATAAAAGTCTATTGGCCTGTAATATGACAGACGGTGTGATAGGAATCGGCTTAAAATAGTAGTCATCGTATGATTCAACATGCGATCGGATGACTGTAAAATTTCATCATCCATTTTTTTACCTTGGTTTTGGTCAAATCGCCAACCAATAGTAATATTTATTTTTTGCCTAACGTAGCCGAATCGCCTATCAATTATAACAATCTATTCCCACGACCCTGGGTCGATTTTAAAGTAGTTAGAGAACATATAAATATGATGCGTTTTCTCCTAATAAAATGTTATCCTAAAGGTCACAGTCCAGTCTTTATCGTTCAATACTTACATGGCTCAGTGAAGCGGAAGTAACCAAGAACGAATAGGTAAATCTAGCATATCAGTTGAGTTATGTACTGCGTCAGTATTATTATACCCACGCATAAATATATTCGGTCATGCCAACTGTAGACGTGATCATATCAACTGATGACAGGTACATAACATGTGTTCAAGGAGCTTACAAAATGTGAACTCGTGATCAATGCACCCAGCCTATTTCCCACGAATCAGTGTCTTCTGCGTTTTATACAGCTTGTTGAGCACTACAGTAACTGATATTTTACACTCAACTGGTAACAGACTAGTACCGCAGTGGTTTTCACATGCATTATTTTGGCACTTTTTAGAGATAGGCACAATGATAGTACACTCGTTTCCCAAGCTACCTTAAACAATACAGCAAGTTCTACAACCTACTATTATATTCTTCAGGCTGTGTTGCTGAAATTTATATGGAAAGAGGAAGACTATTATCCTGTGAAGCTTGGTCTTAAGTCATTATCACACTACACTCAAATTTGTTCACTTTCATGAAAAAAGATAAATTTTAACTAGCACAAATATGATGATAGTAATAGTAATAGTTGGTAGTGAATTTAAAATAAACTATAATCGAAAAATATAATTCCTTAAAAGAAGGTTTACCTTAGCGTACAGCACATGGACAGAATCGGGGTCATCATTCATATACTCTAGACCCCTCAAGGTAAGACTGAGAGGACCCCGGGAAAACAGTTCATAACCTTTTGCAGATTTACAAAATGTTTCCAGTGCATCACAAGCTTGTTCGATCTCATATTTGTCAGCCAAAACTAGTGTGACTAGGGTAAAATGCAGTGTGGACGTTGAATGAAAGACAGAACTATCTACACCCATAAAATCGTGAGCCGCAGACTTTTTGGCAGCCTGCAACACAGACTGTCGGAATTTCTGGAAGTTTTCCTTTACCACCTGGCATGCGACTGGTAAGCATATGAAGTGAGTTGGTTGGCAACGAATACGAGCATCAGATACTATCCAAAGAATACGACGACAAGCACTCAAGACATTAAATTTCGAAGAACCAGTAACAGAAATCACTGAAGAATTAGAACTAAACAATGGGATTTCAATGTTGCATCGAAATTCATCTTCCAATAGTTTTTTCTTTGAGTGTTGAACACCAATGATGAACTTGTGAAACATCGACGGAACATTAATTGTTGCAGTGTATCCATTTTCAACCATAATGATATTTTTGCTTAATTCTGAGATTTCAGGGTCTGTTTCATCAACATCAACCTCTTCAGCATCTGAAATCTCTTCAATCTGACTGATAGATGTAGGAAACGTCTGGGCAAAACACTGTTTAGATGCATTTTTTCTGTAATGACGTGAGCCAATATGTATTATCTCTGGTGTTAGTACTGGGTCCATCTCTGATTATAGAAAACTGTAGGTAAATAAAAATCAAAAACGCAAAATATAAATGATTTAAGTGGACAAACAGAAGAAACACGCGTATAGCAGCCGGTGCTTGCTTATGGGGAAAACAATCAGCTCTGACGGAGATTCCTTAAGAGACCAAAACATTTTGTGGTGCCTTTTGGCTTGTACGAAATGTTCATAGTTGCAAAATGCACCATAAATACGTGTAGAGATCAATGATTCTAACTCTTTATTTGATTCAAATAAATAGAAATGAAATGGAAATGAATGGCTAGGAGTCGGGTATCTTGTGTATTTATCTGAAACTTGGTGCGGTATAGCATCAAATCTTTTCGAATAAATGCTACAGCTCTACCCTCACGGAATAGCACCTGGCACCTACAAACATCAGTTCCTATTGTCCAAGAAGTGAACACATTCAACAATTCAAAATATCTGATGGTCAGTCCCGGTTAAGAGAATTCAGAAGGTAAGGGGAGCTTTTCATCCTGTATAACACATCACATCCTAAATCTGAACTGGTTATTCACTTCAACTTTCCAAAGTTATTCTTTAATACCAGTATCATTGTTCTTGTCCACTTTTGACGAAAGCTATCATAAAAATTCATAATAATCTAATACATCTGATGTGCAGTAACTGCATTTGGCTGCGGAATATGAGTAGTAAATGCTAATCACATCTTTGGTTGGTGAATCTATCGATTTCTAACTGAATTATCTCATAAATATAAAAGTACAGTATATTATTTTAAAAAAACTTTAAAAATAGTTCAGTATATGCGAAACGATTCTCCATTAATGACTTAGGTGTATAACCGAATTTATTTCTCCATGAATAAACTCCTAACTGATACTTAAATACGAATAATTCTACAGTTTGTGTTTTGCAGTGAAATGCTGGGGTTTATTTTTATTAAAATACACTTCTAAGGATATATATGAAACTTTAACACTTATTCTCGAAGGCTGAATAAAGAATTTTTAGCATACTCGATTTGGCACTAAAGAAGAATTACGTTCATCTAGATTGGTTAAATAATGGCTTTTTTGGCAAAATGCCAGATGTAAGATAATGCTGCAGGAATAGTCTGAACAGAATCTTACTTTAATTACATGGAATATGGGTGCTGGGATGTGGTGAATACTTTACTTTTACGTATGCTTTTTGGAGATGTGACAATACAAACTGATGTACTTATTGAAAAATGTCTATCTTGAGTAGTCAATTAACTAGCTACACTGATACTTTTTTGAAAAATATTTGTTTGGATGGAGTGTTGACTAATGGCTTCAGATTTTTTTGCGAGAATTTTTCGCGCTTTTAACTCTTGTACCATGTGAATACCTATTAACAGTTAGAAACGTGAATAACAACACCTTGCTTTAATATAAAACAAAGAGCAGAAGTAAATATAGCAGGATTTAATAAATAGATAAATTCCGGTAAACCCCTTCACGTGGTTACTTTACACAGTTTATCATATACTTTGATATGTCTGCAGACATAAATTCAATGGAAAGATATCATAACGCATATAAATAAAGCATTTCTATACGGAAGTGCGAAAAATTTCACCGCAATAGCTTGATACACTGAGGGGTCGTAGAAGGAGAAAGTTAAGGAACAGCATATCGATTGTTAGTGCCCCCATGCCACTACCTAACATATCAGTATCATATCTGCCATCACCGTGCACACATGCATGAAACTATACCGTGTTTCACCAAATGCTGTTATTAATTTCATCAAAGATGTACTAATGGATGTGACCTTAATCGACTTTAGATGCTGATAGTATAGCCACGTGAGTTTAGAGTATGCGGATACTGTTCTTCTAGGTGCAATAGCCACCAAACTTCAGACTTCTGAACACCTTGAGTGAAAACCTTAATATTTTCGGCAGACGATTTGCGACTTTCAAATGTGAAATGATGCTGCAAGACTGGCGTTCACCAACCCACAGCTTAAAGATAGGGAGTGAAATAGTTGGCTGTGTTGACTACTTAACGTATTTGGGAGGTTGCATAAGCCATAATCGACTGAGAAAATTTCAAAAGATACAAAAGCCTCGTCTGACACTTCCGAACGAGCCATCTTCAGTGCCTATGCGATATATGGCTACTCATCAAACGACGCGTGTAATGCGCAGCAGTTCGTCTAACCTTTTACGGCTGAGGGATGGTCATTCACAAAAGGCCAGCTATCTTTTATCATATATGTTTACGTTCTATCTCCTGTGTTAAGTGGTATTATATGGTGAGTAATATTAAAATTACACGCAGTGTTGACTGACTGGTTTCAACGTAGAACTTTGCACTGATTTAAAACAGAGATATGAGGCAAATAGAGTAGTAATATGGAAGAACAATATAGTTTTACTGCATATCATAAGTCACGGGGAGTGGATGTATCTGCGCTATTGAGAACGATTTTGAGCCATATCACCAATTGTCTCCTGCCATTGGTTTTTACCATCCCGAAGACCAAAACCAGGAAGTTTACACCTCCCGACGTGGCTGGCTTGAACTAACTGTTGTGGATTTCATTGACTGATGCCATGTTTTGGTTTGACAACCACTGGCTCTTTTCCAACCTGATCCATCCTATGTCAGCTAACATTGCCCGTCGAGGAAGGCGATCAGTGGCCTAGGATGAATGCGTAACACATGTTCTAACCATCTCAACCGGTGTAACTTCACAGCTTCGTCGATTGATTTCCCCTCCTTACCTAGCACTCGACCGAAGCCTTACCTGAATATTACCCACCATATTATACCACTTGACACGGGAGATAAAAGGCAGGCACCTATGATCAAAGACAACTAACGTTTTCATGTCTTACACTTTCAATGGCCAGATCTTACGGCTAAAAAGGAGGACGGAGCGGACTGCTGAGTGGCACACTCGCCCTTTGATCAACAACTAGCCGGATATCACGTCTGCTAAGTCAGAGATGGAGTAAGTTGCCATATGTCTAAGGAACCTTCTGTATCCGTGCTAAGATTTCGTCAGAGATCAACCCGCTGGCACTGGCTGATGCAACTCTGCAAATAAGTGAAGTGACCAATGCACTTTACCACTTCACTCCCTATTTCTAACCTAGGAGTCAATGTAGTCCAGTCCAGCAGCATCACCTTACATTTGGCGGGAGCTAATAACATGCTAAACATTCTCAAATTGTAGCTCAAGGTGTCCAGAAGACTTTAGACGCAGTGTTAGGGAGTAGAAGTTAGTCAATAATTGTGAAACTACATCGAATGACATGACTAGGATTCGTGCTTCGCGTCCAAAGCCATCACCTTCCTCGTCAAACTATGTTAGTCGATATACGAACAGGTTGGTAAAGTGTTAGGGATGGTCATATCAAAACTTCACATCCATCCATCAAGTCTGATTGTTGTTTTGGGCTATGTAGGAGAGGTGTAGACTACCGGGTTTCAGACCTCGAGATTCCAGGAACTAGTGGCTGGAGACCGTTAGAGATATGGCTCGAAATCGCTCCACATGGCACACAGATACATTCACTCTGTGATCTCCACTGGACCTTAATGTTTTCGCATGTTACTCTTCCTCCTGTTGTACCTTTCTGCCCATTAAGGTTATTTTGAATTTCTATCACTTCTCGTTACTTTTGTATGCTATATGGAGTGTAGGAACTTGAACTGCTTCACTTCTGTGCGAAGTTTCACGTTGAAACTCAGCGAGTTAGTCAAATGTAGTTGAGGCAAACATCATTCTCACGAAAGCGGTCGGTCGGTTTTCGACATAGAACTTTGCACATATGTGCGGCAGTTCAAGTCGCCACAATCCATGTAGCACGCAAAGCAAGAGAAGAAAGTAGAAGAAATGCATAATATAGACAGTAAACAGAGGTGTGAGACAAAGGAATAGTAATAACGGAGAACAAAACAGTTTAATTGGAAATCATAAGTCACAAGGAGTGGATGCATCTGCGCCACTGAGAACGATTTTGAGCCATGTCACCAATTGTTTCCAACCATTGGTTTTTACCGTCCCGAGGACCCCAACCAGGAAGTCTACATCTTCCTACGTGGCTTAGACTAACTGTTGTGGATTTCATTGACTGGTGCCATGTTTTCGTTTGACCGCCGCTAGCTCTTTTCCAGCCTGACCCTATATCAGCTAACATTGCCCGTCGAGGAAGGCGATGACTAGGCATACGTAACACATGTCCTAACCATCTCAGTCGAAGTAATTTCACTGTTTCGTCGACTGATTTCCCCGCCTTACCTACCACTCGATCATCACCTAACCTCAATATTGCTCACCTTATTATACCATTTCACGCGGGAGATAGAACGCAGACACCTATGATCGAAGACAGCTAATCTTTTCATGTCTTCTGCTCTCAATGGCCAGGTCTCACAGCCATAAAGGAGGACGGAGCGGACTGTTGAGCAGTACACACGCCCTTTGGTCGATAGTTGGATATCGCGTCTACGCCAGAGACGGTGAAAACTGGCGTATGCGAACCTAGCCCTCTGTATTCGTGCTGAAATTTCGTCTGAGATCAACCCGTTGGGGCTGATGGTACTTCCCAAGTAATTGAAGCGGTCAACGTGTTCTACCACTTCACTTCCTATTTCTAATCTAGGGGTCGGTGAAGTCCAATCCTGCAGCATCATCTTACATTTTACAGGGGCGAATCGCATGCCAAACATACGAAGATTGCTGCTCAAGGTGTTCAGTAGACTCTGCATTTTGTCAGAGTCCTCGCCTAGAAGGACTATATCGTCCGCATATTCTAAGTCAACGAGATTCTTCCCTGGTAGCAAGTCAATCCCTGAGTCGCTGAAGTGTGTTAGGGTTAAGTCCATTAGTACGTCTATGATGAAGTTGAATAGGAATGGGGATAATGGGCATCCTTAACGGACGCCACTAGTCGTCACCACTTCAGATGACAACTCGCCATAAGCCCTCACCTGGCTGCATGAGTACGAGTAGAGTGCCTTAATCAGTGCAATGTATTTTCTTGGCATTCCCTTTACAGCCAAGCATCGCCAGAGAACCTCCCGGTCGACAGAATCGAATTCCGCCTTTAGGTCAAGAAATATAATGATTGTCGGACGCCGGTAGGAATGCCTATGTTCCACAATCTGTCGAAGGGTGAAGATATGATCAATACACCCTCTACCTGGCCTAAAACCTGCCTGGTTTTCTCGTGTTTGTGTCTCCCGAGCACCACTTAGTCTACGCAGTATTATTGAGCCTAGGATTTTAGATACTATATTAGTCAAGCTAATCCCTCTGTGATTATCACAAGAAGACTTGTCTCCCTTCTTGTATATCGGGATGATCAGTGACTTACACCAACCCGATGGGACTTCCTCTGATTCCCAGACGCTGCCTAGAACCTCAGTTAAGGCAGACAGTAAACTGTCTCCACCGTACTTAAATACCTCTGGAGTCATTCCATCAGGTCCCACTGCTTTGCCTTGCTTCAGATTAGTGACAGCTTTAGTAACCTCAGTTAAGGACGGAGGACCTGTGTCTATATCCCATTCAGGGAGGTGTTGGATGTCCGGCAGCAGCCTAGCCCAGCAACCAGTCTGAATTCCCCTGAGAGGTAAATGCAATAACGACCTTACCAGAGTGGAAAGCCAGGCAGGCACATGCAAACTTGGAATGAATTTGACGGGTCATTCACAAGATTTAAGGGATAGGCTCAACAATGTCTGAACAGCATTACTATATACTGAGCCAATCCTACCTTAAGCATGGAAATGTTTGTCAATCTGAAAAGCTTTTAAAAGGGAATGAGACGCACCCGACACCAGATAACTTCCAGCAGTCCCCTACCATGGTGAATATAATTATATTTTCTCCCAGCTTTGTAGCTTCAGTTAGAGCTAAAAATCTTGTTCATTACGTCGTAATTTGCACTTGATCTTCATTCCCACTCGATCTGAATATGTAACCTCAACTCAAATTATTTTATTCACCGAATCATCAATCTTCACGGCTTGGACGTAAAACGTGTTACCTATCTTTTACACACCTAACCAATGTCCGACTTTTCTTACTGATTCTGGAGAATTATTGCAGATTTGCTATATATACCAAAAGCTCACTGACATCTGTAATTCCTATCTTTCAACTCTTTGTGTACTGGAATACATAATATTAGTGGTTGGCATATTTTAGCTAAAAATTAAACAGTGAGAAAATTTTGTGTATTAGTACTTTAAATGTTTTATGTTGTACGCACTGCAGTTGATGATAACCTGGGAAGTAAAATGACATCGTATGACGCTCAAATTTTGGTTTTGTTCAATTGTATCGGAAGGGAGGAATTGCATGAAGTAATGAGATAGGATATTCTAATTGGCACGCAGTGTGACTCAAAAGGCAGTATTTCATGTAGTTTTCTACTTTGGGTATTGTTCAGGAATTTCAATTCATCTATGAAAAACAATCTTCATTCTTAATTAACAGTCTTGTATCAGCACATTCGTCGGATTGGTTCGATGGCTATTTAGTCATTCCATTAAATAGCGGAAAAATTAATCCAGCCTGACACCGGAAGTTACTGCTTTTTTAAAGATGTATTGCATATACCCCATACCGACTTACACTACAATGATACTCAAAGAAAAAATTTTTGGTGCAATTCCAGAGCTTTGGGGTAATTGGGGAAAACCTTCGGACAGACTTACCGGTTTCTTCGGGAATATTTTAAAGTTGAATGTTGCATTTCCACAAGATCTGACCTAAATTTTTGTACTAAGGTGCCCCGGAATTTACTATTTTAAAACAAGATGTAATTTATCAGACAAACTCATTGAAGGAACTAACTGTTTCCAAAGATAACTGTTTGTGCTTCTGCATACTGCAGTTGTCCCAAATCAAATATCGTTTTTGCGAGCTAGTGTTAACCGATTTGATTTCTTTGTGCTTGCTTCTTGGTTGTGACGTAAAGGTTGCTGGTCTTCGGTAAACTTCTGCGTAGTTCGTCCCGCCACTCGACTGTGGTAGCTATGGCTGGCTCCCAAACGAGTGGTGCTGGAGTTAATTGTGTGTTGTTTGTAGTACGTGGTGTTAAGACCGTGTCGCTACTGTGAATTTAGTTGATCCTTTCACCGGCTAGCCATCCGGTGTCATCGAAAAAAGAAAAGATATTAATAACATATAATTCGTGTGCAGACTAAAAGACAGTAAAATAAATAAAGAAGGCAGCTAATTATATATATATATATAATAAGTTAATAGTTGTAGTCAGGAGAATAAGACGAGGGAATGTGAAGAAGTAAAATGGTGGGTTCAGATGTCTACCCATTATTATTGTATGAGAACTTAAAGGAAATGGCCGTCTGGACGCTGTCGCTGTACGATTAGCTATGCTTCGCCATAAGCTGTTCTCGGACGGTGCCATAGCTACATCTGCAGGTAGGGATTCCTTGAAATGGCATCCTCGCAGCGAAAAGAAATGAAAACGCCTTCGAGTCTTTGCCCTCTGGTGAACTCCCTCGGGAATTTCCACGAGGACTCTAATACGTACTTTATGACAAAACACCTTTATTTGCGGCTTGTTACAATCCCAACAATGAAAATAAAAGAGCAGATGCTATAATATTTAGCAGATAATCAATGGAAAAGACAAATAATACATGCCAGATATACATTAATAGAGAGGATTGATGAAAGCCAGCATATGCAGTACCGTTCAAGTCAAATTAGGTATATTATACAATATTCAATATCACTTTTAAGAGCCAGTGTGAACAGCATTGATTTCTTTGGGCACATATTTCTTACAAATGTTCAAGTGACTTAGCTTTATCACTCTAATAAAGAACACTCACAGTCTCCGAAGGACCATGTCTTGTTCCTGATTCTATAGCAGTATATTTACTTATGAAATCGATAGCTTGAGGTTTCATAACATAGAGATATAGGGTGCTGACTTGTAGTAAGCTAGCGGATTCTTTCAGCTAAATGTACTCAATTGAGAAACTTTACACGCTATCATCTTACCCTGAGTTGCTTAGGTTCGGTCACTGATTATCAAACAAGCATCTGTTATTAGCTGCGTTGACTTCAGATTATACAATCCAATTCGAACTGTCGATATGGCACTTTTCCCTTGACATCCGCTTCTGATTTACATCACAATAATTTTGAATAAGAGCATAATCTTGACTACTTTCTTACCAACCATACCAACCAAGTGATATCAACCTATGCCCATCTTATTCCTTAACTTGGTTAAAAAATTCAACTTTGTCTCTGTATCTTCATTTTATTGGGGCTAGAGGTTTGAGCGCGACATCTCATTATGATGGTCTCATGCATTCATCTGCACGACTCACTTAAGTTGAATAAACAGTAGAGCATCATGTATTTGGAGGGTTTTGCTTTACTTGTATCCTATGAAAGGTGTATTCCAAACTACGAATATTTAAACAAGCGATCTTTTCTCCACTTTAGTGACCTTTGTTTGTGTGTAATAGTGAAACGTCTAGAAAGCGGACATCACTCTACTCACCCAGGTTTCTAAACCCATTTGCGAAAGATGACCAAGAATATTTATCTGACTAAAAGACAAAATGATAGATATTCAAGGCTGTCAACTTAATAGGATATCAATAACATGGACAAAAAGTTCTGAAAAGTGTCAGGTAATCCTACCTAAGGTAATAAAAGAATGTATCATAGAGTTTTTTTCAGATAACGTTCAGTTTTTACTTTTTAAATTTGCTAATTACCATATGAAGAGTCAATTCCTGAGATTTTTATCTTACTGCCAGGTGGATGCAGTGCAACGCCTATCGCATGATCATCTCAACAGTTGTTCGTTTTCTGAACAACTAAGATGAATTATTTCAAGCTTCATCTGGCTTTGTGATTTTCCTTCGATACCTCTACCAGCAGAGTGAGTAAAGAGTTATTCACTTCGGTGAAACCACATTTATCTTCGTGGTCAAACTTTTAGGCATCACACACAGAATTCTATCGATGAAACATAAATAGGTCTTTCGGAACTCGAGAATAACGTGTTTCAACGACTGCATATCTCATTCAGACCATTGGAAACCGAGTGTATCTTGTTTGGGGATTATATGTCCCATTAGTTATAGAAAAGACCCAAAGATATGAGAGTTAAGATTTCGAAAAGTTACAAAACATCCGGATCTCGTATTAAGTTGCCGGATCCACGCGAGAAATATGTCTTTAACTATCCTGGTACAGCCATGTCTAACAATCAGATACTAGTCTTATCTCGTGTTCCTAAGTTCTGTACTATTCTGTTCACAGTTAGAGAGTCAGATATCAGGGTGCAGTGTGAAAGTCCCATGAATCAGACATAGAACTAACTTCCAGCATCTAGTGGAGACATAGGACAATTTAATTCTGCCATTCGGCATTGTTAACAACAATACTTAAAAGCGTAATGCAGGCAACGATGTATGATATCAAAGTAACACAAAAGACAATTAAATGAACTTTTGAATGACGAGGATTTAATAATAACTAGCCCAGATTTGTGATCAGGTATAGTTACTTTAAACTGTGAGAATTGCCCTAATAAATTATTTGCGTCGGTGGAGCAGCGGTTAGGACACTCGCCGATAACAGTGGTTGGCCTGATATATTTGGTCTATCAGTATCACATGCCGAAAATTTTATACTTGTATAAAAAATACTGTATGGAGTCAAACTATAATAAAATAAATAAAAATTAATTATTTTAGGAGTAAATTTCAGCCGATCGAAAAACAGAGGAGAGAGCACTGAGAATGAACTACCAAAAACTTTGAAGAAGTTGAAGGAAGAATTTGTTATTACTCCGTATATACACGGTTCAACCATTCCCTCATTCTAAAGCACAGATGGTGTCCCCCTGTGACCTATATTGGTTATGCTGAACTCACCTAATCATTCTACAGCTAAATTGCCCGCTGAAACTCTCAAGCCAGCGGGAAAACTAAGAAAACACAGCATTTTAGATACCTTTGATTTCGTTAGTTGCTTTGGTGGAATAAATGTATCCTGCAGGTTAGTTTGTTCATTATTCGCAAGTGTATGAACAGTAGAAAATATCAGTTATCTGTGTGATAACACTGATCTAAGAAGCTCGGACGCTGGATTGCTAAATGACTATCTACATCAGCCTTTATTGAGACGCACTCTTAATCTACAGTTTAGACCTAACAATCTCGTCTATAATCAAAGGTACTGAGTCACCATGGGGACGCCATTGGAACCTCTCCTAACGGACGCCCTCATGAAGAGCTTGCACAGTGATCCACTGAAAGAAACTATCTTGAGTCTGCGAGTACATAAGAGATATATATCGAAGACACCTTTATTATTCTTGCCGATAAATGTTCAATAGCTGAACCTCTTGGAAATTTCAGTGGTCCTCACAGTCGAATTCTGCGGGCGTTGATATGGCATATCCCCTGTTTGAAGTGGCGCCTCCAGCTTTACCTTGAGCACATTTGCGCGGTCTAGTTGATTTCAGTTTGGCTGGTTTGTTCCGTTTGATCTAGGTAGCTGCATTTGACGTGAGTCTGGTTTTTATTTGGCTTGAACTGTTTTGATTTTGTTAAGAATAGTCGTCAAAAGCTGTCTTTAAGCTTGAAGGCAGTTGTCGTGCAGGAGGATGCTTGAGAATGTGTTTCATGTAAAAATTATAGGGCGTGCCTAAAATCCGTTCACTTCTTAGGTGTTACGCTGGAGAGATAAGAGGGTGGCACGTTGGTAAGGTTGATTTGCGGAAAGCCAACATTTACAGGGAACTATAATATGTTCAACAGTTGAATGCCTCTGCAATTTCCCCATGCCTTAGAATACGGAAACTCTTCTTTATAGACACAGTCGATATGGAACTAAAAAATCCTCATACAGCTCTCTTAAGTAATTAATAACCTAGAAGGTCCATTCACAAAAGCATCAAGAAAGAAACCGTCCCCAGACTAATCACAATGTCGAAGAAGACACTGCTTATGAGTTTGGCTTCTAAAAGTGACACTATTTCTGAAGTGCTCAAAAGTCATTTAATTAAATGTATTAAACGTTTTTTAATGCAGCTGATTTACAGTTAGTATTTATCAGCCAAAATATAGTTCGACAATGCATTAAGGATACACTGCTGCTTATATCCAACTCTATATGCATATATTCATTCACATGCTCATGTGGAGCTGATTACATTGGACATTGTAAGCGTGTTCTCCATAAACGCGTAGCTGGACTCTCCCTGGCCTGGTTAATGAAAGGTGGACAAAGGACAATAGAGTCTTGAATTTGTGAACACTTTATGGAGTTAGGTCATTTAGCCCCACGTGATTTATCTTTTAAAGTTATCTACAGGACCAAATCCAATCATTTTAAGAGCTTACATTTTCCCCACTTATCAACTGCCAAAGCTCTAGCTATACGTAGGAAAAACTAAATTATGTGTTCAGAAACGTTTTGTTAAACCCGTTTCTTTACCTTGTTCATAGTAGTGTTCCTTTATTTTGCTCTATTTTGCCATTTGAATTCATTGCACTTTACTTCACCTTCGCCGTCTTTATGATTGTCATCATCGTACTCATTATTTTAGACAACACTACCAATTCATTATAGTGTATTTCCTAACGAATAAAATACAAACGACGTTGTTTTTACTGACGTTTCGCTGTATAATGCTAATGGCTTCATCAAAGTATTATATGTTCAACTTCTACAACCTTGGTGCCAATTCACTTATCTAATAACCCTTAAAATTCTTGCAATCCGTTCACTGAAACTCTATCTCTTAATATATCATTTTAATTATCTTTCTCCCTATCATGTGAATAGTGACTGGTCAATTTTTGGTATATCTTAATGCCTTTTCCCGTAATATCATTACGATTGTACAGCTTCAAAATGAAGTCTTCGAGAAGAAATGCTTCTTAGATGTATACAACTGTGTTTATCCGCATGGAATGGTATTCAGCAGCTCATAGATGTTAATATTTTCTGTCAGCGAGAACCACTTAGAATCCAAGTACCATGCAAAAGTATGTGTCTTTTCAAAATGTTAAATATTTCCAACCATCCAAAGCTGATACACCTGAATGGAGTTGTCATTTCGATGATGAAACAAAAATAGCTGTGAAGCATAGAGGTAAATTTAAAGCTGAAAATCTCCTCATATAATATGAATAAAAAGTAGCTTTGTGGTGCTTAGAACTGCACATCGTCCCGAAGAACTTGAGTGACTATTCACCTTCCTGCCCCGACTAGGACTTGAAGCTACAAATCGAGCTACGTGTCTGCATTTGCCACGTGTAAAGGAACTATAAGTGTGAATGACAAAGTATTTATCTCAACTTGTGAGTAATAACCCCCACAGGAACTACTGAAAAAGGTCAGCAACCTCCAATTGACAGTAAAAAGTCGAATGGTTCTATTGAAAAACAACCGCCGTTAAAGTGTTATTCTTCGGGATATACCCATCAAGTCGGACACATTTTGTGAAACAGAGGCAGTAGGAGTATTTTGTGACGTCAAGTAATAGCTTTAACACTGCATAACGGACACAACACAGTAATTACAGGCGGATTAAAAATCATTATACTTCACTACTTACATACAACTGTCATGGCTTAGTAAATTGCAGCTGCATAATACTCACTTAGCAAAGATTCTTATCAGTTGCAATGTACTTCTAACGATACATATGCATCCAAATAATATC